TGGGGAAGCCTGTATCCTTTCTGAGTGGGAAGCCCTGGGCCAGAGCGGGATCCTGGTGGGAAGGAAGTGCTGTACTTCTCATTGCTGCCTTTCCCTGGACTCTTGCCCTGCACTGAACCCTCACTGGCTTTTCTCATGCTCATCCCATCCCATTCTGCATTTGTGTTTCACCCCACGCTGCCCCTTCTCAGTGCCTGCAGAGGACGTGGGGCTGAGGAGGGCGATGGTCTCTGAGGGTGGTGCTGGGTAGGGCTGGGAGGATTCTCCAGAGAAAATGGTTTGGGAACAGAGGGGACTCTGTGGCTGTGTCAGAAATGAGTGTGTTGTCCTCAGCTTTCCTTAACGAGCTGATTTCAGATGGTCTTGGCTACTGTTTCTGCTTGGATTTTCCAGAGTCTGTGGGCTCTAAGCTGGACCGGGTGTTCCCTTTCACTCTGCTGAAGAGGATACCAGGGCTGAAATACATCCCAGGGTCCTCAGCAGAGAGAAGAGCCTCTGGAAACAGCATGTAAGTACAGGAGTTCCTGTGAAACATCCTGTAGGGGAATTTTGAGGTGTGAGTAGAGGCCTTAAATCATCTCTGAAAGCTGTATTGTGCCTCTCCTGCTCACATTGTGGGTGCCATGGGGAGCAGAGCCACCCACTGATGTTACACTGGTGACATTAGTGTGACTAATGAATCACCACACGTTAACTCAACCAGGTTTTTAGTGAAATGGAGGTTATAGACCTCTCCTTTGCTGCATGTGCACATGGGAATATTGCAGTTCTGGCTGACAGGAAAGCTGAGTTGTGTAACTCTGCCCCAGCTTTAGGCAGTTGTTCCTGGCTATATGGCTCCCTGGGCCATGATCCTTATCTTTATTTGCCCCACCTTTCCTGCCAGGAATGCTGTGAAGTGAGTTGTGTCCAAACCTACTTAGGACCAGAGCATTATAAATTAAGGATGGCACTTACAAAGTTCAGTGCAGACTGAACTTTTTGGTGTCTTTTAACCTTTCAGCAGGTTTTCAGTGTCAAGGCAATGTTGCTTTACAGAAAAGAAACCTTGGGGCCCACAGCTGATGTGCAGGAATGGTTTTAAGTTTAACACAAACCATGAGAATTCACTTGTACTCTAAAAAGCTTCAAAATGCAGGTCAAATATTTACTTATTCTAAGGTGTCCTTTCAGTTTCACAGAGGAAAAACAGTTTTCTATTCAGGGTTACATTCTGTGCATTGTTTAAGCCATCAGCTTGCTGTAAAGTTTTATTTGAAGTGGAAGCATTCCCAGGTGTTTGCACTGCCCTCACCCATGGGAAACCATAAAAGCAACCCTTGCCTCAGCAGGAGTGTCCCCAGGTCCATCAGGACACTCAAAACGTGTGAGTGCTTGCAGGGGAGGCCAGACAGACCCAGAATTTGTGTTTTCCCTCTCTCCCTCCTGTGCAAGAGCAGCTTTTGGGAGGAGAGGGAGCCTGGCTCCGTGCTGAGCCTGTGTCAGCACCAGTCCCATCCTGCTGTGCACAGCACCTCAGTGTCTCAACCTGCCTCCTTAGGTGAGGTGACACAGAGAGTTGTGACACAAAGGTATTTGACTATCAAGCAGGGCGTGGGAAGGTGTTTCTAGGATGCTTCCACTGCTGCAGCTGAATTTGCATGTCTGTGTCTTAGATACAACTTCTGTAAGTGCTTCTGGAGTTTAATTTTTATTATTTTGATGCTTATTTCCAAGCAAGAGCTCTTAATAGTTTGGGATTTGTTTTAATTTTAAATTTTCATAAGGTTCAGGCATTAAATGGCTGCAAGACAGGAGATATTTCTTTGAAGCCCTGGGCTTGGCATCATGTTTGTGTCCACAAATAAAAAAAAAATCCAAACTCAAACCCACACCTCAAATAATTAAGAAGAAATCTCCAAGCCTGAAAATCCCAGCATGAGCCAGTCTCTTCTTCTTGCTGGGAACTTGGCACTCATGGCTTCATGAATATTGCCTGGATTCTCAGCTCTCATCCTCATGTGCGTGGGCTGAGCAGCACTCCTAAGTCCCAGAGGCTGAGGCTTCCAGGCAGATTGCCTCTCTCCTGATAGGTTTTGGCAGGATGAGTCATGCTTTCTGCTGGCACACACTTCCTAGCCCTTGCTTCTGAATGATTAATTTTATTTCTAACTCTCTCTTTTATTTCTAACTCTTTCCTCCTTCCTTTTTTTTTTCTTTTCCTTTGCTCTGTACTCTGGGCTCTTACTTGCACCAAAGGCCTTTGTGTTTTGGTAAATAACACTTGGCAGCTGTAACTTCTCCTGATTAATGACTTGGCAGATGTGTCACTGACAGGGCAGGGAGGATGTGCACAGGGATCTCAAAGCATGTTGAAATTTGGCTTTGGGTACTCCTTGCACAAAGAGTCTGGAGCCAAGAGCCACGCTCGTTCAGTGGGTGTGGAGTGAGAGTGGGAACAGCTGTCCTGGGAGGCCACTAAAGCCATTTTTTACTCAAGTGCTGCTTATAAAAAGAGCTTCTGTTGTAGTGAATCCCTCTGATGGATTGCAGTGACCTCTCTGAGCACTGGTCAGGAGGAAATCTGCCCCCAGGGCATTTGCAGCACTAATTAGGCAATGTCAGTTCTGAGCACAGTGTAACCTTCTGTTTTCTTCCTGCCCAGGATTAAGGCCGTGCCTGGCACTTACCCCACCCAGAGCCACCACTGCCCTTCGCCTCTGGCTCTTCCTGCTGGCCCCAGGGCTCAGAGGCAGAGCTTTCATCACAGCCACGCTCTGGGACACCAGCTACCTCAGCAGGGCCCTGCTGCAGGACACAGCCTCAGTTCTTCCCTCTGCCAAGCCAGAGGTGCCTTTGGAGAGTGCCCTGGGCAGGCCCACGCTGGAGCCTCACCAGGACAGTGCTGCCAGCTGGGCAAATTCTCTGTGCCACAGCGTGTGTGCCCGGCTCAGCCACAGCCACCCACAGCCACGGGCCTTCTGGCTGGTGCTCAGCAAGCACCAGGGTATCCAGTAGCCCCAGTGGCCCCTGTTTCAGCTGAATTTACCAGGGTCCAGGTGTACTGATCCTCCAGAGAGCAGCAGGACTCAAGAGAGGCAGGACTGCTGTGTGAGGCTTGCACAGCAGTGCATTGCTGGGATCTGTGCTGTGTCTGGGGGAGTGTTGGTACCTCCAGTAAAGGCCATTCCCCTGCTCCCTGGCACAGTCTACTTGAATTATATTTCCTTCATAATAATTTTTTTTTAACTTTTTGATGTGGCTGAAGGATGGGAACTATATCACCTCTGTGAACTTCTCATCCTTTTTAAGTCTTTCTTCTTTGCTGCATTTAGCAGCTGCTTTTTTCCACAAGTCCACTGGAATTGCAGTGCACCAGCTCCCCGGGCCAAGGTAGGAACCTCACTGGCAAAACACTGAGCAAATCTGGGGTTTAGCTAAGCTGCAGCAATAAGCACTTCCCATTTACATTCCTGTCTTTTTTTACAGGTGTGATGTAGCTAGAACCTAAAAGAGTGGGAATCATATGAGCCTTAGTTTGTAACTTAAATGGAGGAGGACAATGTCTGTTGTACTGGTGACTTGTCCACTTGAGAGGGTGCTTTGAAGGGGGCTTGTTACACCAACCTGGGGCAAGAGGATAGAATACAGAGTACCTTCTGCTCCAAAGCACAGCTCTAAAATGCTGAAGGTCCTATGCCTGCGTCAATGGATTGCCTTCATTTTTTGAGAGCATTGCACCAGCTCAGCCTGTATCACCAGCACCTGGCAACCTCAAATGCCTGTAAAATAGTGAGAGACTTTTCAGTAAGGGATTTTGACCCTTTGTGGAGCAAATATTTATAAATCCAAGGAGCTGGGAGGGACCTTAACAATGGGTTAGAAGAATTAAGTGGAATGTAGCAGTGCTGCTGGGGGTGTTCACACTGCTCAGCTTTAGAAATCTCACCCACCAATATTAGCACAATCTCTCTGTTTTTTTCAGAGCTGTGGGCAGGTGTGTGGGAGAGGGGAGTTTTCAGCCAGGGATTTACAATAGGATTCACTGTGTGGTGCCTGAGGCTGTAATGAAGGAGTTTGGTCCAGTTGCTGGGATTTGAGCTTTATTCCCAGCTGTGTAGCTCACTGTACAGTGCCCAGGAGAAATCTGCTGTCTCTGTGTCTGTAAATCAGCCAGGATCTCAACAATTGCCCTTGACTCTACTGGGAGTTTTGCTGTGCTCCATAAAAAAGTGCTCCATGAAGCACAAAGTGCCATTCCTGCTCTTGGAGGTGTTCCTGCAGTGCCTCACCCATCCCCAGAAACTCAGCAGCCTCGGGGCTCCTCCCTCCTCTCCGGTGAGCCTGGCCAGAGGCAGCTCTGGCACATTCCAAACCACATCCCTGCCTCTTTCATTTTTCCATATCAGGGTGTGAACAAACCCTGTGTTGTCATCCAGCTGCTTTCCTTCTCCAGCAGCTCCTCTGGAATGACTGCCATGGTCCCATGTGGGATCCAGGGGCTTCCTTCTGGAGGAGACCAAAGTCAGTGCTGAGGACTTGCACCTCACAGAAGTAAGACATGAGTAAGAAGCTCTTCTTGTGGAGGTGAGCACCCCAGGCAGGGCTTTCAGCAGGAGGATGCAGCAACTTGGGAACCAACTTGGAGTTGGGGGACAACTCTGTTTCATACCTGATCATCTCCTCTGTGGGATCACAAACAGACTTGATTTCATGGTGCTGTTTTTGCTGCTGACAGCAATTGCATTTTTATACTTTTAGTGTGGATCAAGAGCAGGATAAGGAGCTTGTTTGGAATTCAAAAGCATGTTTTTAATACCAGGAAATAAATGCTAGAGATAGCATTGAAATGTTGACACTCCACTCCTGTTAGTGCCTTGATTTTTCCTTGTGAAATCCTTGTCTGTAAACTTAGGAATTTTACTACTGATTTTTTCCAGAAGGATGATGAGGATCAATTGCAATGACAAATGTTGTGTGTCTCCAAACTGTAAACTTGAAATAGAATCTGAAAGACAGACTGGTTTTCTCTGGGTTTATTTGTAAGTGGGGAGCTGGAGCGTGCCCCTCCGGGGAATGGGTGGGGTGGGATCAGTGGGATGGGATCAGTGGGATCCCTGGGGTGGGATCAGGGGGATCCTGGAGCGGGATGGACGCAGCTGAGTGTCAGGCCGGTGGCTTTGGACGCGCACTGAGGACGAGCGCTGGGGACACGCGGTACTGCACGCTGGAAAACGCTGGGATCCGCTTGTTGTTCCTTGTCCATCAGTCGAGTTGTGAGAGTCGCTCTCCCCGCAGGGCTGTCAGAGGGATGGATGGGTGTTTCCAGGGAGCACTTTCCTGGCTTTACTTCCAGGAAGCCACCGCGGGAACAGCCCCAGTCCCAGCTGGTGCAAACCTCCCTCCAGGAGGGAAGGAGCAGGTCCCAGCCACGAACCTTTCTGTGCTGGGACAAGACAACTGCCACAGCCTTCCAGGTGAGCCCTGAGGACGGGACTGAGCACAAAAACCCGGGATGGATTTTTTTTCTTTCTGCTCCCAGATCTTTTGGGAGCTTCTTGGTGGCCATGGCAGATCACTTGGTCTCTCTGATTCTACAGCTTCCACCGTGTCCCCAGGAGTGTTCCGAGTCCAGCTGCACCTCTGGGTCATGTGCAATGTGTCAGACCTGTCTTCAGTGTCCTTCAGATGGATGTTTGTGGAGATTCCTTTTCTGTTCCCTGCCTTTCTGAGGGCATCCATTCCACAGTGAAATGCTCTTAGAAAGTGGAGTCCAAGAAGTCCCAGTTCCTCAGGGCTGGGGGGGAATTCAGAACTCATCACCCAGGGAAGTGAAGTTGCTGAGAGAGAGGAAATAGGTTGGGATGAGAATTTACAAACGTGTCTAAGGCCAAGAAGGGGATTTACATTTGGAAGACAGGGAGGTAAAAGTCATCAGCTCACTGGGCTTTGGCATCTATCTAAGCTCACAGTAATGTTACTCATCACACGTTGCAGTACCCGCTCATTTCCTTGGTGGGGAGACAGAGAATTGAAGTTCCTAAAGCAGGAAAAAAATAAAAAAAGAAGAAAAAAAAAAATCAATAATCTCCCAGTTCAGCCTGGGATGGCTGCCCCTGGGGTGACTGCCCCTGGGAACGTGCTGTCCCTGGGGGTTTGTTATTCTGTGCCTCTGGCTCATTCCTAGTAAAACTGCCACTTCATTCCATGCCAGGATTGTGTTTGTCCACAGGGTGTGCAGAGAGTCCAGAAAGCCCCTTGGGTTGCTCCCATGTCCTCAGAGGGTCACTGCAGAGTGACAGTCTGGGGACAGTGCTGGGAGCAGAGCCAGCTGTTCCCTGTCCTTGGAGTAGTTGTCCTGCCATGGGAAGGATGCTCTGCAAGTCCAAGTCCATCCCCTCTGCATGGTGCAAGGGAAAAGGAGTCAGGGATACATGGGGAAAGCAGAACTGACTTGGCCTTCATTGCTGCCCCATGCAGGAGTGAGAGCGGACCCACAAAGCGGGGAGGCCTGGCAGGGGACACTGATGCTGGAAGGAGAACAGGTCTGTGTTTCTTTGCTTTCCTGTCATTAACTTTTGGCCAAGCACACCCTTGCAGACACTCTGACTGGGGGCCAGGCTCCCTGTGCCAGGGCCAGGACACCGCCAAACACCACCTCCATGGCTGCCCCGTGGTGTCCCCTGTTGTTTGCTGGCACTGTGAGGGTTCTGTGGCCAAAAGTTCAGCCTCAAACTGTGCTGGGAACAGAGGAGAGCTGAGAGGAGAGCTGAGAAATAGGCAGAGAGACAAAGCACTGACCAAGGAGGTCTCTGGGCTGCAGGACTCTGCTGCTTGGCTGGGTGTGATGAGCCCCAGCCCCTTCCCTGTGGGGACAGGATTGGGCTGCAGGACTCTGCTGCTTGCCCCTGGGGGGTTTGGGCTGGGTGTGATGAGCCCCAGCCCCTTCCCTGTGGGGACAGGATGGGACAGGCTGTGCCACAATGCAAGTCCAGGCACCTGATGGGATGACCCCCGCCATGGACCTGCTTAGTCCTGCCATCCCCTCAGGGCCACTGGGATCTTTAACCCGTGTCCATTCACCCCACAGGGTATGGTCACAGACCAGCCAGCCCAGGGAGCTCCCAAAACTGATGTCAGTGGCACCTGTGCTCAGGTGACCTCACAGCCCTCAACCCTCTGCTCAACTGCTGTCAGGAAACAGGCTGTCCCTGCAGCCCTGGGCTGGAGTTCTTCGGGTCTGTGCCCCCTCCTCACACCTCTTCAGGTGCCTGCCAGGCCCAGCTTGAACTTTGGACCTTCCCCAGGTCTTTTATTGACTCTGGAGCGAGTGTCAACACAGCGATGGCGTCAGGATGGTGACTTTGGATGTGCCAGTGCCCAGCAGCCAAAGGGAGGGGACCCAGCCCGGGGTGACCCCACACAGCTGTGGGGCTGCTCAGTGGCGTCAGGGCAAGCTGCGCCTCTGGCTTTGGCCAAGCTGGAAACAGCAGAGTTGTAACCCGGCTTCCCCCCCCCCAAAAAAAAGCCAACAGGGAGGAGAGCAGCAGTCCCTGCAGGACCTGAGGTCTGGGTTGTGAAATGTCCCACTGGGACTGCTGGGGATGCTTCCAGAGCTGCTTGAGCAACTTCCTGGTGTGGCAGCGAGAGAAAGACCACCCCAAAACATCCGAATCAGCTGGGCTGTGGTTAAATCAGGAGCATGTGCTTGTCCCGGGTGAAGCAGCCCCCTGGCTCCCACGGAGGATGGCAGTGACTGGGTGCCAGCCTCCGCTGCAGGGTCCCCTTGTCCCCCCACGGGGCCCTGGTCTGGGCAATGACCGTGGGGGAACTGGGAGTCCCACACCATGGGCACCCAGGAGCGGCCACAGACAGGGTCCTGGCTCTGCAGGTCTGGCCCAGCCCAGAGTTAGTGTCCAACACTGACCCCATGCTGACCCCAGTTCATGACCCCAGACACGACTCCACAGTGCCCCAAGCCCTGCTCCCACTGTCACCCCATCTCTGACCCCGCCATGACCCCAACGCTCGCCCCCATACTGACCCCCGAACTACAATGTTCACCCCAGCCTGCCTCCCCTCTTGAGCCTGCCCCCCAGACCGAGCCCCTGCCTGCACCCACTGTGGCTCTGGGCCCTGTTCTGCACCCTGACCCACCCGTGACCACCCCAACCCTGACCAATCCCTGACCACCCCAACCCTGACCGATCCCTGACCCCGCCCGTGACCACCCCAACCCTGACCGACCCCTGACCCCACCCGTGACCACCCCAACCCTGACCGATCCCTGACCCCGCCCGTGACCACCCCAACCCTGACCGAATCCTGACCCCACCCGTGACCACTCCAACCGTAACCGCCCCCTCACCCCGCCTTCCTCCCGCCGCTCCTGTCCCTTTAAGACCCCCGTCCTCGGGCTGTACCATGCGCCGCCGCAGAGGGGTGATCTCCACAAACAGGCGCGCTCGCCGCCTATTGGCGGGTGGCGAGGGCGGAGTGTATTCCCCCGTGCGTGTGCCCGGGTGGTGCGGTCCGCTGTACGTGCCGGCCGCGCCGGGGCCGCGGGAGCCGCCAGCGCCAGACGGGCCGGAGCGGCGGTGGGTGCGGGGAGCTGCGGCACCGCGGGCTTGTGGCTGAGGAGGGTGCGGGACCGGGGGGCCTCTGGGGCTGAGCTCCGCCGCCGGGGCCCTCTGTGCTGGGGAGGGGCGGCCCGGCATCCCCCGGGCGGCTTGGCGTGGGATGGGGGCTCTTTCTGTGTCGGGGGACTGGTGTGGCTGGCTGCGTGCCACGGGCGTGACTGGGGTGCCCTGCGTGGGGGGTGAGTGGCACTGTCGCTGGCGGGGACATGGATGTGAATGGATCTCTTCTGGGGGGGGGGGACTGGGGTGAGCAGAGCCCCCTGTTCCCTGGGGGGGGGGGTGGGGGTTGTGGCTGAGGAGGGTGCGGGACCGGGGGGCCTCTGGGCCTGAGCTCCGCCGCCGGGGCCCTCTGTGCTGGGGAGGGGCGGCCCGGCATCCCCCGGGCGGCTTGGCGTGGGATGGGGGCTCTTTCTGTGTCGGGGACTGGTGTGGTTGGCTGCGTGCCACGGGCGTGACTGGGGTGCCCTGCGTGGGGGGTGAGTGGCACTGTCGCTGGCGGGGACATGGATGTGAATGGATCTCTTCTGGGGGGGGGACTGGGATGAGCAGAGCCCCCTGTTCCCTGGGAGGTGTGGTGTGAGTGGGCATCCTGTTAGTGGGGGTTACTGAGGTGTTTAGAGATCCTTCTTACTGGGGGGGTCGGGGAGGGCTGGGTGACCCCTCTTATCTGGGCAGTGTGGTGTGGCTGTCCCCCTGTTATCTGGGGGGAACCGGGATGGCCAGAGCTCCCTGTTATCTGGACAGTCTGACTGACTGGTCCCCTGTTACCCGTTGGAATTGGGATGACCAGAGCCTGTCTTATTTGGGAGCATCTGGTGGTGCTGAGCCCCTGTTCCTGACGGGGCTGGCGTGCCCGATGTGTCCTGTGTGAAGGGCTGGCCTCTATGGACCCCCTGTTCTTTGGGGGGGACCGGGACGGCCCGAGCTCTCTGTTATCTGGAGAATCTGACTGACTGGTCCCCTGTTACCCGTTGGAATTGGGATGACCAGAGCCTGTCTTATTTGGGAGCATCTGGTGGTGCTGAGCCCCTGTTCCTGACGGGGCTGGTGTGACCGATGTGCCCTATCAAGGGCTGGCATGTGCGGACCCCCTGTTCTTTGGGGGTGCCCCATCACGGCTGTCACCCGGGGGCTGTGGGGCAGGGGACAGAGCAGCACCCCTGGCAGGGTGGGCAGCCTGGGAGCAGGGTGATGCCTGCCCTGCCGTGCTTCCACAGCACCCAAGGGTTTCTCAGTCTTACCCCATCCCAGGCTGTTGTTGGTTAAAAGCCTTTAACGAGCTTAATTTTCTGGCACTTCCCTGGAGAACCTTATTCCCAGTGTTTAATTGATACCTTTGCTGCAGGCTGGGCTGTTCCGCTGTTGCTCCATCTATTTCACTTTATAAACTGCTGGGGTGTGGGAAGCCTGTTTGCTCCTGACTTTTCCTGGTGCAGTTTGTTAGAAGAGTGAAATTACTCACCTAGGGAGTGTGCTTGTCAAAGGAAATAATGGGAATCCCCTTGTTTAGGGAATATTGAGGCTGGAGGGGGTGAAGGTACCTGGATGATGGTGTTGGGAGTTAGTCATGAGCGTGGACTTGGTTCTTGGGGAGTTGTCTTAGTTGCAGGAGTAAGCAGTGCTGGTGCAGGTTGGAGTGTGCTTTGTTCTTTGGGGTTAGCTTTTGGAGTGTGAAAGGAAATGGGAATGCTTAGTGGAACGTGTACAGAGAAGAGGGATCACTGAGGCTCTCTGATGTGAGTCTGGAAAAGTGAAATGGGTTTGTGTTTTTACAGCTCTTTTTGAAAAGTAGAAACATGTATCCGGCTGAGAAGCTGGAAAAGTGCAAGGAAGGAGTCGTGTGTGTGTTTCTGAGTAGTGGAAGTGAATCAGTGATAGCGTTGGTGGGGACATCCCCTCCACAACAGAACTCTACACTTTGTGTGGGCTGTCAGAGGGAGCTGTGGAGTGTCATAATTTTTTTTTCTTAGTGGGGTGCAGTGGTGTACACATCCCTTTTGCTAGATGGAAGGGAATGGGCTTTCTTCCAGTATTTCTGTAATTCTCTGAGAAATCCCAAGGAGCTGTTGCACACACGCAGAGCAGCTTGCTGATTAATCTACTGCAAATGAGGAAATCAGTGTTTTGTCTGGGAGGGCTGCTGAGCCAGACCCTTCCTGGAAAACCCAGCATTGTCTCAGTACAGGCTTTTCTTGGGCTGGTTGAGAGCACTGAGGCAGGGTGTGCATGGCATGGAGTGTGTCCTGGTTTTGCCCATGGGTGTGATGGTGCACAAGAACTGTATTTGCAGAACACTGAGCAGGGAGGATGCAGAGCTACAGGAAGAAACACCAGTTGAGTGTTTTCTTTTAATCTTTGAGTGTGAAAGCCTTGGCGAGTGGGCAGGAAGGAGGGTGTAGTGTCATAAATCTGGCTTAATCCTCTCTTAATTAGTCCTGCTCTAATTGTGACAGAGAAGAACCTCTTGCTTGTCATCACTTTGCAGTTGCCTCCTGTTCAGTCAGTAATTTCTGGGTTTGTGCCTCCTGGACAGCCAAGTGCCTTCTGCAACTTTCCTTTTGTTTCTTGCAGAGCAGCTGGAGGAGCTCAACAGGGCCACACAACCAAGACTCTTTGAGCTGTCTCAAGGGAGACTTTCCCTTCTGCTCACCACACTCCGTGCTGGAGCTCACAGGCCCCACCAGCTCTTGTTTGCAGGCCATAGGTGCAAGGTAACCCCTTTCTTTTGAGTGTCACAGGTTGTGGAGCATCTCTGGGTGCAGTTGGGTTTGGGGAGGGTGGCTGGCACTGGGTGCTGGGAGTGACAGTTTCTTTAGCTGCAGCAAAAGCAAAGTGTGGAACTGTCTGACTGAAATCCCGTTTGGTCTTTGCTCTCTCCTTTGCCTGTTGGGATACAGCAAAGTTTGTGTTTGCTCAGTTCTGAAGGACTGGGGAAAAGGCTTCCCTGCTCAGGTTTGTGCTCCTGCCATCTCCTTCCCTGGTATAAAAGAAAAGCACCTGCAGTTACCTCTGTGGCCGCTGAACTTTGTTCTGTTTCCTGACGTCCACTCTCCTGCCTCAAAAAACACAATTCTTAGAACTTGCATAATTTGCTTTCCCAATGCGATCATTTGATCCCGGCGATGAGATTACTTTGTGCACGCTGCTGTGGAGAGTGAATCACCAGCCCTGCAGTGACAGGTGCACCTCTGCCAAGATTGCTTTTTTATAGGCTTGAAAATTTCATAGGTCAGAACAAATAATAATTGCAGGCTGCTCATAATCTCTTGCTGTTTGTCCCCAAGTAAACATTTCAAGTTAATTGCATGTTGCTATCACTCATGGAATCCAGACAGAGAGATCAGAAGCCATGTCTGGTGGCTTCTGGAGGGCCACAAGTCCAAAGAGTGGCTGAGTTTGACCCAGGGTGGAAGATTATTGTAGTATTTTTGCTCAGTAATCAGCCACGTCCGTGCCTCCAGTCACTCCTTTGCAAGGAATGGAGGTATTGATTTATTTACCCTCCTTTCTTGCTGTGTGGAGTAGGAGATGGTGAGGTTTGGAGTTTGAGATGGGGTTGGATTTTTCTCCTTGGTAAAATCTGGCTCTGGCAGTGCAAGGGAAGTCTGCTGGGAAGGTTTAACAACCAGCCTGGGGAGTTGGTGGTTTTGTGGTGCTGGATCTTGCTGTGTGCTTGTGAAACATGTCAATTGACTCTCTTTCACGGGTCATTGCTGCATCTCCTCTCTAACTCCAAGCTTTGGAGGAGCAAGTTGATAAAACGCCTGCAAGGATTGTGCAAGTCCTGGTTGTGTAACAGGACTCAATGCATAACTGCTGGAGGTAAGAGGAGCAGCTCCTTTTACAGAGGAACAAAAAACCCCTGTGTCAAGTATCTTCTCTTTGTGTTGATTCTGCTGGGGCATTGGAGAGCTGTGGTTTTTGCAGCTTGGGACCAGCCTTTCAGCCTGTGACCCCTGAGTTCTCTGCTGTCTTGTGGCCTGTGTCATGTTTTGGGTATGGAATTGGTGTCCTGGGGTCTGCTGTGGCTGTGTGTGATTGCAAGGGGCTGGGCTGGGAAGTGGTCTGTGTTTCCCAAATAATTTCAAAAAGGTGAAGTCCAGGTCAGATTGCTGACCCATGGCAGGCAGGGAGGTTCTGTAGGGTGATAGCACACCCTCCTGATAGGGCAGCCAGAGCAGGACAGCTGTAGTGCTGAGTTTCCAAGAGGTGCAGGGATCATGCAGTAACACCTCCAAACCCTATAGCAATGCAGGAGATGGGCTTGTGATGTCTGAAAAACTCTTCCATTCTCAGAGGAAACCAGGCTGATAAATACAAAATATCCTGGCTCATTATAAACAGTGCTTGGTTCTCTAGACATAAATAAATAAATCCCCAAAATGCACTGTTCTGATCAAAAGTCTTGACAATTTTGAAAACTTTTGAAGATCTGTTTAACCCTGTCCCTCTGGTGCTCTTTCAGCTGATGGTTTTGGAGGAAACCTCTCAAAAGAGACCAGCATTAGAGGCTTTTGCTGTTTAGACTTCTCCTGGTGGAAGAGGTCAAAGTCTCTGGCTACTGACCCCATCCATAGGGCTCCTTTCCCAGTGGTGGCATAAGGCAAAGCCACAGCCTGTCACACCAGCCCTCCACAAACTCAGGCAGAGGGTGAGCAAACAGCCTGTGGGGAGGAGAGGAACTTCCAGCTGTGGCTGTGGCAGCACAGGGTACAGCACTCACAGAAGAGGCTGCTGAAAAAACGTTGTTTTCCCTCTTGATC